GGCCACAGCTCCGCTCCGCACCTGCGCCTCCTACGCCCGCCGCCCTTTCCCTTCTCTCGTCAGCACTTCCGTCTGCCCCTTCAGCTCTGTTGCACCTTCCCCCACCCCCCAGACCTGTAGGCTGGCCTTGGCGCCTTCTCTGTCCTCCTGGGCGATCTTCGCTGCTCACTGGGTCAGCCTGGGCTTCCGCTAGCAGTTTTCCTGCCGGCCCCTTCTCTCCCCATCGCGGGTCCTCCGCCCGGCCTGCTGGGTCCCCAGGGCCCCAGCGCATCCCCGGCTCCTTCCCCGCCATCTCCACGGGCCGTGGAGCTTGCACCTCCTGGCGCCTGCCTCGCCAGCGCGTCCGACTTTCCCTCCCTCGGGCCCCGCCTGGGACCCCCCAAAGGCTTTGGCTCACGCCTTCCTTTACCTACATGTTGCGCGTCCTTTGGTTCTGACTACTCCAAACACTTCGGATGCAGTTTGAGTGTTCGAGAACTGCAAGTTCGTGGTCCCACTTAGCTGAGGAGTCACTAAGTAATTAAAAATCACAAAGCAAAGCGATAGCAGTGGGGACCACCTTTGACCTACATCGTTCCAGCTATAGTTCTTTGACACTTAAATATCAAGGGATGGAGGTTTCTATTGGGTCTTACCAATTCATACATTTTGGATTTTTTTTTCCCTACAACCTAACCTCGCTTTTGTGCTTTTATTTTTAGAAAGTATGTAGTCAATAGAAAGAGCATCAGGACCTATGAGGTGAGGAATTTATCTTTTCTGAGATTCTGAATTAAAGGATTTTGTATTTGGAATCAGGTTGTGGGTTAAAGGAGTCTAGAGAAGGCAAAACATTGCAAATGTAACTGGAAATCTGGTAACTTAATTTTTTTAAAAAAACAGCAACTTGAAAGAGTTGGCCTATGGACATGAGTTAACATACCAAAATAAAGGAAACTGATTAGGCCTTTGGAGTTACATTCACAAGTTGCTTTAAATTATGTGAGTAGGCATTATTATCCTTAAATTGAAGTGTTAAAACTATCTTCCATTCTCAACAAAATCCAGGCTCTATGTGGATCTTCAAAGTTTAAAACCATTGTGAATTGAACAACAACATTACAGGCATTTGAAAGCCTAATAAACCATCTGCCCATCCACTTTAACACAAATTGGGAAAAAGAAAAGTGTAAACGCCAAAAGCTGAAAGCAAGGGTTTCTGACTACACACAAAACTAGTAAACCTTGTCCCACAAAGTAAGTATAGGAAAAACTCCAAAGGCTATGGTACCCATTTCATTGATTTGGAATCAGAATCCTGTCATTTTATCATTGAATGATCCAGTCCTTAGTATCATCTGGAGTCTATCTAATCTTTTCATTTTACAGATGAAGAACTAACTCCCAGAGAGGGTAAATTGCTTGCACGATATTACCCAGACTAATTGGAAACAAAGCCAGGATTGAAGCTCAGACCTCATCTCCCGTACCTGCCAACATCTGGCTTATACTTACTACTTACAGTTATTCAGCATCAGAAGTCTTTGGCTTTGCAGTTTTGCCTACATGGTCCGAGTGATGTATGAAATTGAACTTGGCATTAACTAGGAAGGTATTGCTGTCAGAGGCCATTCTGTCCCACTGGGTTCAGGGATTCCTGTTGCATAAGCTCCATTTCACCCGGTCAGGGTTCATCTTCCTAATCCAGGCAATTTTGGCCAGGCCTCTGGAGCCATGTCCCAACCCAACACATTTATCCTAGGAGGTGCCAAGGGTTGTGCATGAATGTAAAAATTGTGAAGCTGTTATTGTCAAGAACATTACTGGAAAGGAAAATATGAAACAAGGTAATAGATATTCCGCCATGAATAACCAAGGATTCAATGATAAAATCCAAATCTTAAACTAGATGTTATCCATGTAAATTAAGGGAAGACTTCTTAAATGGACAAAAAAGGAAGTGTAGAATCTGGATTGCTTGATAGGGAAAAGGTAAAGGAAATTGCTTGACAAAGGCACTGAGAAGAAAAATGTGTAAGCTAAAAATTGGAAAGGGGATCACGTGAATTAAAACAAGAGGTTTATTTTAGAACCAATAGAAAATCAAGCTGACATGATAGGGTAGAACCATTGGTACAGGGCTTGAATTTTAGCCTGAGAAATTTAAACTTAACTTAATAGGAGATTATTTAGGTTGGATTTAGCAGGGGAATAGAAGGGAAGACAAGACAAGAGCCCATAACCTTGTTTGGTTCTGAAGTAGTAAGTCAGAATTAATAAGAAATGTTAGATGCCACTCAGGAAAAAGATGATTTTGGAAAGTGTATATAGGGATCAAAGAAGAGTAGGAAGTCCAAGATGACTTGAGAATGATAGCAAGACTCAATAACAGTATCCAGAGACCTGAGTATCTTACCCTTGGAGGATGATCAGCACTCGACAAAGTATAGCCTATCAATTGCTAGAGAAGGAAACAAGAAATTTTCCCAAGGTATACCCTCCTATTCATCATATCCTCACTCCAGAAAACTTTCGTTTGCTACTCAAATTGAATTAGAAGGTAAGAAAGAAAGCTCTCACCCTGTCATGGGCCCTTGTGCTGGTATTTTATGGTCAACCTATTTTTATTTCCGTTACAGCCCTACTGATGTAAAAGTGTTCAGTGGTGCAGTATATAAGGTTAGAGTTAGAAATAAACCAAGAAGTGTTTGTTAAATACATATCACATGATGCTTAGCACTCTGCTAGGCCTGAAGGGCTGGAGAAGTATAAAAGAGCCTCTGCCTTCCAGAAGTTTATAATCTGGTTGGAGAAATCAGACCCACCCACCTAACACCAAAGAGGATAAATTCCACAGACAGTAAAGTGTGCTGATACGGAAATAGTGAGGAATAGGGTTGACTGGAATGGGACTGATATAATTTATATCAGTTTTTCATTCGCCTTTAATCCTTGCTCTAGGTTGTGGAGGAGGAGCAGTACAATAAGAAGCTCCTGCTCTCATGGCACACACATTCCACTTAGGAGAGACAGAGAGGAACAAATAACTACACAACTACCAAGTAGTAATAACTGCTCCAAAGAAAATAAAACGTGAGGGTGTCAAAATGATTATCTGGAGAGTAGGTTAGACCTTTCTGAGGACCATTGAAACAATGACTTGAATGAAAGAAATGGCCAGTCGTGCACTGATCTGGAGAAGAGCCGTTCAGGCAGAGAGTAAACTAGTACAGAGCCCTACGGAAGGGTCAAGCTTGGTGTGTTAGAGATGGAAAAGGTGAGTGTTTCTGGAGTGTAAAGAGCCAGAAGGAAAGCAAAGGGTATGAAACAGGAGAGGTAAGGAAGGCCTCGTAGATAAGAAGGGATTTTAAGGTCAGGTTAAAGTGTGGACCTGTGGAAGATTAGTCACACTGACATTCTGGATTAGAGGAGGGAGGGATTAGGATCAGGAAGACCAGATGGAAGCCTGTGTGATCATCTGGTTAGGAAGTGATATAAGGTAGAAGAGGTTAGTGGCCAAGTTAGCAGGGAAGACAAAAAAAATGTCAAGAAAATCAAGTATTGGGTACTTCTGAGGGGTGGTAGGCGGTGTTGGTTGTGGAGAGTCCACAGTGTCAAATGCAGAAGAAAGGTCAAGTAGAATAACCAGTAAGTGAAAGCTACTAAAGCTAACAAGAAAATGTCAGGTGTGACCTCTAAGAGAAGAATTTCCATAGGGTAGGGTGATCAGAAGAAAGGAAATGGAGGCAGTGAACTTTGTATCACTACAACTCAAAATATACAAAGCATATGCACATTTTATTTACCCTCTAAGGCCATTTATATTTGGGATACTATTTAACTTTTAAAGCCCTGTAGACATTCTCAGCCAGGTCCAAATTTGTGTCTCTGTATTGAAGGAAAAACAAGCTTATACCATAGAGAGATATCTAATACGTTTTTCTAGGCCAAAAACCAGTCACATCAGTGACTCCCTGCTCGAAAAGCAATCAGAGAAAGTTCGCTCTTACTCCTGAGATAGGGAAAGTCTCACAGTAGAAATACGAAGGTAGTACCATATCAGTTATGGTTCCATTCCTGCCACTTGTCAGGTCTAAGTCATGTGGTCTGTGGATACTACCCTGAGCATATCACATAATCTTACTGAACTCCAGGGTTTCATT